CCCGACATGGACTGGTAACCGGACAAGATGCCGTCGTTCGCCGTATGAATAAGCCGTCTTATCGGCTTTTCTCTCCCCCGGGATAAACGTGTAAATCCTATTTAGTGAATTCTTAACGTTCGTCGGTTTGAACCTTACATCATGATATCCCAAAACTTCAACCCTTTGAAATATTGTAGCGATATGTAATTTCACAACAGATGTGAATCTAGACAATTTGACTTTGCTATTTGACACTCAAGGATCTGCATTACAATGAATTTTTAATGTCAATGGAAGTACAATTTCAGTTACAGAAGAAGCGCCATTTCTTTCTATCAAGTTTCTTCGAAATTTCCTTTCATAGTCGCTGAATTTAATATTCAATGTGAGACTCTATGTAGTGGAGTAGGGAGGATATTCGAACGTCGATTTCGCACATACCGTGTTTCCCCGAAAATAGGACATACCCTGGGAATAAAACCCAGTCTGAATTTAAAAAAAATGATTAAGTCAATAGCGCCAATATTTCTTGGCCTAGTCGATGGCAAAAAATCTCTCCTACACGTTTTGATTGATTGGTCATTTTTGCAAAGCCATGTTTAGCAGTTTTAATAAATAAAACGTGTTATTTATTAGTAAATGGTTATCGGTTTCATATTTTGCATATTTGAAAATTTCGTGATTTTCCACTTTTTAATTTTGTTTTTGTTAAATGACGCTTTCTATGTGACCGCTCGATATTCTTCAAAAGCGAAGACCATTCAAATGACAATTGGTACCATATATCCATCCGTATTACGCCGTGTACGTGATAGCCTAACACAGAGGAGGCCATTTAAATGGCGATTGAGACCATATATATCCCTATCCTAACTGTTCTATTTTGGTAACGTGGCTTCTTATATATTTCACTTTCAAATCTGCGTTTGTAAGCTCATGTCCGCCCTTACCAAGGAAGTAATAAAATTTTGTAGGTCTTTTCAGAAAGACATATTTAGGGGGTTGTTAGTGTCACGATTTTTTCAAGTTGAATTGGATAGAGTTCTTATTTGAAGGCTTCTATGTATCCACTGATGCCATAATAGCTACATATACCTGTGGATGGGAGGTACTTGAATTCCGTTTCGAGAAGCATTTGAAAGTTTTCAACCATTTTTTAAATGCATTTAACGGCATTTGCAGTAAGGCATAAATCATACAAATTTTCATTTTGCTTTATTCTTGAGGTATTTGGATTTCGTTTCGAAGAGCATCCGATGTTTTATACGTTGTAATATCAGTATATGCTTTTTCTCAAGTGTAAAATTGGTTTCAAGTTTACCTATATTGAAGATATTCAGTTATAATCGTCGCTTCGAATCACAAATACAATATTTCACCTGTGGGCATTGAGCATAACAAATTATTTCTCGCTATCTGTCAGAATATCATAAAACCAACAGAAATAATTGCAGGTTACGATGTAATGCTCAGTCCAAACTTCCAAATTTGAGAAAAAAATTTTCTAATTGGATTTTTTCGCGACTGGGATGGTTTAGTTTATTTATTTAGAAAGTGATTTTACTAAAAGTAGCTAAATATCTCCATGCGGAAAACTGTGTTTATTTTTACACTCGGAAATAAATGTTCCATTTTTAAAATGGGAACACTGCATTTATTTTTTGTACAATTTACCAGATATCAAACGCACGCTTAACCCGCTTTTACAGACTCAATTTGGGGTGTAGATACGTCCAAATAGCCCCGAGCGAAAGTATAGGTAATTGCAGAAAATTTTCATGCCAAAAAGTGCGGTCAAACTGTCAAATATGTTACGAGTTACCACAATAAATAATACTTTTTTTGATAATCGAAGTCCTATTCGTGAACACTATTTATTTTCCTGTAAAAAATAAGCCTGACAACATAGAAACAATTCTGGAAGATTTCGGCTGGGTCGGATAATTTATATTGTACCACGTGATTGTTTCAATTTGAAATGAATAAATTTTTAACAAAACTACAAGAATAATATTCACAACATCACACCATAAAAGCTATTTATTCAATGCTTATTAAAGTTTGTAGACATGTAGACCTTAAGAATAATGGCAATGTCATCAAAAAACATAACATTTACACATATTTATCTATAACGAGTGGTGCGCGAATGCCTCTTTTCTAATATTCAACCATATGTTAGTTATGTTGAGAATAATTCTTTCAATTTTCGGAGCGAGGGGGGGGGGAGAATTCCTGTCTTCTCAAAATAAAGTAGGCCTCTGCTTATCACTCGCCCATAGTGTATGTATAGAACGAGAAAGGTGTAAGATACGTCGTTTAAAGATATTTATATTATTTTCTAAAACGATTGGATTACTTTCCGCAAAAAGCAACTTTACCGCTCTGTTGGAAATGTATTAATATCTGACCAAGAGCAAAGTTAGTTTCATCTCAACACGCCCATGAAAGCTCTGACATGTTTGCGAGGATTTGTCGAAATGGATGACACGAACCGAAATTCATTTGTATGACGACGTAATGCGGATTTAATGGATCAATTGTGATGAAATAAAGATATTATAACGATACTTGACAATTATCTTCTTCATCTTATGTTAGTCTTTGAAGAAAACGAATAAATTTCTACAATTAGGAAGATTGCAATCTATTTGGCATCAAAGTTTATTTCTAAACCACAAACGCTACCGAATTACGGATAAGCGGATGGGTCGTGCACTCACCGACCGACGCAGGGGATACGCACAATTGAAAATATAAGGTTATAAGATCCCAAACGGCGACGTTATGTGATATACCATGTAAGTCGTCAATCGGGTGATGAAAATAACGTCAACACTAAGGATTGTGTGTCTCTTGTGATGAGAAAATGTGACTAAACTGAATAGTATTAGGCTAGATAGGTAATTATTTTGGCCTTGCCTAGTTATTATTCCCATTGGTTCATGTATATTCAGTGAATGTCTGTGTTATAGCTACACTTTATGCTACTTAATTGATATAAATATGACTGCTGGAGTGCTCATGCACTATGTGAATGCCACTGACTTCTATTCTGAAAGCCATCTCAGTCTATATTACCAGCTCAAAATAAAAGTCTTTTCTACGTTTCTTGTCTAGTCATTTGAACCCCGTTGCCACATTTCTCCTATAAATCAAAACAACATATGTCTATTGTTGATAGCACGTACTTTTTGGGGTGTAGTTTTTAGTTCCACCCACCTTGGAATGACGTAAAGGTGTTTTTAGAACTTAGTCTTTGATATTCGAGAATATATGTGACTAATTTTATCGGTATCCAAACTTATACAAAAGCAACTTGACCAAATAGGGGCTACTAATTAGCTAAGAATGATTGTATTTCGAATTCTTATTCCGAAAACGTTTCGGCCCTCCTGAAGTATGCGCACCAAGATGGTGCACAACCTGAACTCAGGTTGTGTACCAGGTTAGGGTTCAGGTTATGCGACATCTAGGTGCGCATACTTCAGAAGTACCAAGGTTTCGATATTATTTTTGTGTGCAAACCTACGTCATCAGTAATAAACTATGAAGCCTATTCCAACACAGCTCTAACCCTGCTTTCAGCGCGAATCACATTCTACATTAGATAGATTATGGCAACATAAAGTCTCTGTACAATTTCAATTCATTTAGTTCTCAATATATCTTAACCCGGTAAATAATCTTCGCAATTAAAAAAAATTGAGACGTCCACGACACCCTGTATGATGGGATTTTATATCTCGCGCCACATAAGAGAGAAATTGTGTGCCATATGCCACTTTCGGCTTTTTGTGAATATACCATTGGACCGTACTCCCGTAGTATGTGTACCAGGTTAGGTTATAATTTTATGCCAATTTTCCATATTTTAGACTATTACGAGTTCGGGGACTGTCTGTTTCAGCCAAATGAATATACCCCCTGCCCATAGGTTACAGTCCCTTTACACAAATTGATGTAAAATAGGCGAACAAAATGAGTTACCTCCATATCGGTACCGTACATCGGTTTTTGTTTCGCCACTTGCCTAACAGTGAGCGCACATCTAGTATAAGATTCACCATTGACCCAGAGAGAAAAACCGATATGACGGTTCAACTAGATCGCAAGCACGTATTGGCATCAGCATTTTCCCCGGGGCTTGTAAGTATTATATCGTCCATTCAGACAATAATATCACGTTCAAACAATTTTCTATATTTACTTTGTGATAAAACAAACGATTATAAAGTAATTTATGACGTAACACGCCTATTAAATTACGTACAATTTGGTTCAAAAATAACAAAACGAAAAAGCTCTGGGTCAAATATGAAAAACGCCATGAAAATTATTTTGTCGCTTTATATCGTTGTTGACATATGATAACGCATCAAAGTAAGCGATATTATCACTCAATTATGACGTGCGACAAGGTCAATTATGATTCATAATCTAATTCTGAAATGTAACAATTCTAGAAGTTGGCCGTTTTCAATGATCGAAACAGCGGTTCGCCATATCATTAAGCCGTGTTATCGGCTTCCCTCTTCATATGGGCAATTCCGAATCAGACCAAAATCTCGCCATAAAGATCGATTTACCTGCATATAAGGTCGCTTTCAGTAGAAGGCACAGTATTACATTACTGTCTTCAAAGCGAAGTAAATTTTTCATCAAAATAAAACTTGTGGACGCGGTGGTCTAGCAGTTGAAGTGCTGGAAGTCATTATTTAAGCATTTTGGGCTGAAGATCTTGGACAAACCTTCAAGCCTACCATCGGGGGGGGCAGCGAATTGGACAGGCAATGTCGAACAGTAATGCTTCTGATATTTGCATTAATAATAGTTTCTTGCGTAACTGCAAATGCTTGTCTAGAGCCTTTTTTGGAGTGAAGAAAAAGCTTTATAGGTTTCAAATCTGTTTCAATTCTCTGAGAAAATCCGTATTCATGCTTGGAAATTTCTAATGTTTTTTTTTTGTGAATTATAACAGGGTTATATAAAGTCATCATATATTATTTTCGTTCCAGGTGGGTGATTCTGAGCGTCACGTGGTTCCTGGCAGCCGGATTGAAATGGGGGCACGAAGCGATAGAAGCTCATGGATTCTACTTTCACTTGGTGGCGTGGTTGGTACCGGCTGCACAAACGATTGTTGTCTTGGTGATGGGGAAAGTGGATGGCGACGAACTAACAGGTGAGTTCTAAAGATAAAATAGGTGATTCTCAATTGATGATTTTTTCATGATCCGTGCGCTCCTTCCAAAAAATATCAACACTACTCTTCATGTGAAAATACCCAGTTTTACTATTACGCGTTTCAATCCGTGGTATTATGCTAACACCCCCTTAATTTGTGGTGTGCCACCACACTTTAATTCCTAAGGTACAGAAAACAAATTCAATATCTAAAAAGTGAAATATATGCTGGTGCAGATTATCAGTCAAATACATAGCACATTTTTATAAGTCACAAATAGTTTTATCACTATTCACAAATATCTACCATCTTCTTGATTTGGAAACACCCCTCAAATATAAAAAGTCGGGGAACCCACTGCTATGATCCTAGCCAATGTGATGGCTAAATTACCGATGAACGCTAGTTTAATATACTGTATATTTATAACAGTAATGTTGGCGCCAGAATCGCCGTTTAAGTTGTTGTTACAAGCAATATCTAAGCGATGATACTTTTAATATTGTGGAGAGAATTTTGCTTGAAACAACATCGAGTTTAAGGAATACTGTCGTGAATCAAAAACTGTAACTTTGTAGTAACGGCAAATCCTGTTTGTGAATAGAGAAGCGCCTCGTTTTAATATTTATTCTAATACGGGTAGGTTTATATAATAGTAAGATGCTTTTAAAATTTAGTGAGAACTCGATTCGAAAACCATTTAAATTTTTTTTAGTTGTAGCAGCCTAAAATTTGGAATGAAAGAATAAATAAAAAAAGTATTGACCTGTTGTAATATGGCACAATGTAGTTTTTCCTATTTATTTTCGGCACATTCCACCCTTGGCCTATTTTCGATCTCCTAGTCCCCCCCACTACTCGTGAACTTTACTTGTCTTTGTTATTCGATATTTGACAGGGCATTTTTTCGCTATACGTGCACCGCTCATTCGCTTCTGTACATTTTCAGCAGTTCACTCATTGTATACATACATAATGCAACAAAACTACAGAGGTACAAAATGTTAGTGTTACTACAAGGAAATACAAAGTGAAAGACGTGTTCTTCCCATAATGAAAATATAGATTAATTAGGATATCTACTTTTCACATTGCCATAAATAGATTTCGAGAAGCGACAAAGCGCAACTAAAAATTATATTGAACAGAAAGTCTCTACCGATCGTTAACATGCAAACTCGAAATTATGCCAACCAGCTAATCGTTATTTAATTGGAGAAGCAGAAACGAAGAACATCAAGTACCAATATACGGTCACGAAACACCGCATTCGTATTAGTAATTTACATAGTATCAGTATAACTGACATATAACAACTGTGTGTGAGAGTTTAGCGAACTGCGCAAAATGCCGTTGCGTTTCCTAAAAGATTTCTTCTTGCGTTTTGCGTTAAGAACATTAAATGATCAAAACTGTTAAAAGTAACGTTAAACGGGAAAATACGAATGAATATGTCAGATATTCAGTCTTGTTACAATTTGTTTGAATCAGTGGTTACCAAAGTTAATTGACCGTGGGCCATAATTAGAAGCTGAAGGATATTCGCGGGCCAGAAGATAGGGGAACGCCCGCATGAGGCCGATACCGCAACCGGTACGTATAACTGAGATACCGAATCGTTGAGATACCGAACTGAATTGTCACGAATATACACATGCCGTTATGACGTAACAATTGGCGGTATCTAGAACACACACTCATAAAAAACACAAGGTGTTAAACTAGTTCACTTAAGTTCGGCGCGCTGTATTAAATCGTTACGCGGTCCCTAATTGGCCCTTTGAGAATCACTGGTTTAGATGCACACATAAGCAGATATCGCATTGATTAAATGATTTGTAAATCCAATGGATTTTTTTTAAAACTATCTATGACGTAGGTTAATGTTAATACAGTCAAATATTAGTTTCTGCGCGCCAGTGTGTTTATATCACAAATAGTAAATGGTTAGTGAATAGGACCTATGTATTCTTTCATATCTCAGTCTAGTACTGTGCTGAAAACAGTGGAATGGGGCGATTTTAAAGTATGTTTGGTTTTGTCATTATTCATAACTCTCATAACATCACGATCCACATTTCTCCGGTTATTATAACATCACAATTCTTCAAGTGATGCAACAATAACAAAAGTATCGATGATTGTCTTCGAGTACCCCTCCAAACCATGAGTACCAAGCTAGAGTAAACTGAAATAGGATTCGTGTAGCATAATGTAATATAACTTCAAGATATTGGAAATTTATAATATAAAATCAACATTCCTAAACTTTTGTGTAGAAAAATTATCCCGGACTTAGGATAGAATATAAATGCCGACATTGCTAAGGATGCAACTTATTTAAATGCTTTATCTTGCTGGAATCCTCGCCGCTCGATGGTCGGTTAGGTTCATTACTACACCATCAAGTCGTGGTAAATCCTGTCCTATATTCCCGATTACCGTCCCGTAAACCGTTTATTTTCCTTTACAGGCCTCTGCTACGTTGGTAACTTGGAACGCGACTCGTTGCTGTACTTCGTTATTGTACCCTTGGCTGTGTATCTGGCAGTTGGAGCTTTAGCTCTTGGAAGTGGATTCTTATCATTATTCAAAATCCGACGAGTAATACTAAGAAAAAGTGGAGAAAAGGACGCAGGGAAACTGGAAAAACTCATGCTCAAAATCGGGATTTTCACAGTACTCCTATATCGTACCAACGGCTTGCGTAGTGGCCGTCAATGTATACCAATATAAAAACTACCCCGCTGTGGATGGAAAGAGCCGAATCACGGCCTTGCTACCCGACAGAAATCGAGAAAGGCACGTTTACTCCTTACAGAAGAACATCCCGTAATGCGCCTGAAATACCTCCAAGTTATTCGCACTACGGCGATTCTGCGCAGTATTACCCATATAGAGAGATTGTTTATGGACCCAGAAGGCCCCATTACACTGACTATGTAGCCACAGGATACGATGGCGCGCAGTATATTCACCCCGGAGCCAGTTTTACCGGATATGGAAGGTATCCGGATACTCAACCCCGGTTTGAATATGGAACCGGATCATTCCATTCTGATTCGGTTAGTAGCCCACAAGGAGATGAAAGTGGGGGGAGTTATGATTCTTCACTTTACAATGGGCGCCGTCTAGTGGTCGTTCCACAACATTTAATTCCCGAATACCCACCCGGAAGATATTATAAACATCCAAAACCTCCAATGACCTATGATCCTAAAATGGCGCACGTTTTAAAAACATATGCGGAAGGTCATGATCAGCGAAATAATGGCTTACAACCTGACAAAGAAGTTGGTTTCGAAAATGAGATGGATAGCGACTGCCATCTCGTGGATTCTATTCCTTCGTTTCCGATTTTCGCAATCAAGATCTTCATGTCTCTCCTTGCAGGAATAACTAGTGGAATTTGGGTTTGGAGCGGGAAAACGTACACATCTTGGAAATTATTCTGCAGATCGTCATGGTATGTATATACTACATTATGGTCAGAAATAATTCTAAAATAGGATTCTATATTTTGGGTGATTTCTTCCAAAAATATAAAAATATCATAAATAAATATTTTGTAACTAATATCTAAATCTTAAAATAAAAAATTATAAAATCGGAATAACACCTTTTTGGTTTGAATATATGATTATAAAATATTGTTTGATTCCTAATCAACAGGTACCTTAAAAATAAAACACAGTATATGATTGCGCATATTTTCGCTATGCAATCACGGAATAACATACCCAATTTGGAAAAGTGATCGGACGAGCGACTATAGTTCGCCATCAATTTTTCTGTCTTATCACTTTGACCCCACTGAGATAAATATGCTATAGGCTACTCTAACATGAAGATACATGAATTTGTAAACTAAATATCTTGTAATTTTTCAGGTGCGGAAAGTCGACCAAAGAAAAGGAAAATGTCAGCATTACTCCCCATGCTACCAGTATCGGCAACTTAAATGCCCCTCCGTCAGTTACATCTCAATTACTACCCAAAGTACGTGAACGCCCCGCCCCCGACGGGGAAGTCCCCTCCCCAGATGGTAATCGTTACTCCTATCCAGTACTATCCGACCGTTATCAAGGCTATCAACCAGTGACGCAAGAAGATGACCATACCAACAAACGTGACATCACACATTATACGTCATCAGTAGACCGACGAGGACAGAAAACTGGCCTTACACTGGGAGATATCGCCAGAGAATATAGCGATAACTTGGAGTCCGAGTACCGAGAAATGGACTTTTACCGAAGTTGTGAACTAGCACATCCCCGAAATGGGACTTACATTGTACCACCGTGCCACAATGGTGACGCAACAAAGAACAATAAGTCGTGGTTTAAAAACAATTCAAAAAAGGCGCGAAATCACACGACACGTGACTCTATCAATACTAACAAATCGAATCGCGCCATTCCAAACTTATACGAAGAGCCGACATCAAATCGAGATAGAGCTATTCATTGCAACAGACAAACAAATAGAAACAATGGCACTGAATTCGAGCTGCCTCATGGTCAGAAATATGGCAAAAATAACATAAACAGAGTCCGTAAATATAGCGAGAACGATGTCAATAAATTGGGTTTAGTATCTCAGTCTGGTTTCAGTCCAGTGTCCACATCAACACGCAAGAAAGCTGAGTCTGTCCATGTCGGGACCAAAGTTCTCAATTATTAAATGCGTCTCAACAAATATGTTCCATGACAAAAAAAACAAGGTTTTTGTTAAATTTAAATATTGCTTAGTTCAAGGATTTACATTTTACAGGATTTGATACTCGGGCAGGCTCTTGTTCCAAGGAATAAATAATTGGCGGAAAATAGTTTGCACATTTTAAATCGTACTAACGTTTTTTGATTTATCATTTGTGCCATGAATCTAAGTTCGGAAACGTACTCTACTGTTTTATACCTATGTTATGGAATTCAGCTACCTACAAGTACCACACAAGAGTAATGCTCATTGTGATCACTTCTGCAAAGCCCAGTACTGAAAGAATAAACAGACCCGTCTTTTTTCACAAGTAAATAATTAATTTTGAATATCAAGATTTTTAATAGTGTTCATTATACATCAAAAGTGTGATTTTTATATTAAAAAAGATTGCGATTTTATTGCACCAAGGCGAAACTAAGATTGTGCAGTGTTTCTCCGCTATTTATGGCTCGTGGCTCCCTTTCGGAAGTTTTTGGCACCTGTGGCCCTCATGTTTATCAATCCAGGGATATCTATAGTGTTATTTAATTGTCAAATTCCACGTCTCAATATGTTCAAACAATTCATGCTCAACAAAGTGACCCCTCCGGACCCCCTGCCCCACTATGCGAAATAACCTTATCAATCAATGAATCTTGAAAAAAATGGGAGTTTTCTTGAAAAATTACGGCTCCTTATTGGTAACCGCTATTCTATGGAATCCTGTTGTTAAACAATTATAGTTTCAATTATTTTTTTCAACTGTTTAGCATTAACATATCTCCTCATTTGATGAAATGTACTATTTCTTATTATACTTTGCACACTGATTCCCGTCCATGGATATCGAAGTACTTTGTTTATTAATATTATTTCTCTTGACATTTGTTTTTCTTATTTATTTTTCCTCAATTAAAAATAACATCCTCAAATATGTTGTTAAAAAGTGTTGCGAAATGACAAATGTATAAACATATGCCAATTTGATAATGCGGAAATTTTGCATTATTTTTCAGTCAGCAGTTTCATATCAGTCCTAAACAAGTACAACATTGTGGTACAAATTCTTGGATACCTCATTCCATAATATCCATAAAGTCTTAAAATTGCAAAAAGAATTTATCGATACCCTATATTGTTTTGGCCCTCACAGATGTATTAAATATAAAGTAAAAATACCAAAACAATTATTGATTAAAAAACAACAATTCTGGTTAACATATATTGAGAACTGACCTCATAACAAATTTAAAATCGGAAAAGGAATTCATCGATATCAGATATTAGGCTGGCCCTCACCGATGTATTAACTGAGGTAAAAATACCTAAACAATTACTGATGAAAAAAAAAAGATATATTGAGAGGGCGAATGTTGAAATTTCGAAAAAGTTCAACTAAAAATGTTACAAATGTGTTTTTTTAACTAGTATTCATTCAACCATTGTTTGAAGCAATATTCGGAAGTTTAAAAATCACTAAATATATTTTTGCCCATTTCCTCAAAGCAGATTTTTAAATATTCGCCATTCTGGCGAAGCCGTCAAATTTTCAGCGTCGATTTGAAATTGTTCCAAGAACACCCGGTAATTTGTAACAACACCACTTGTCAACCCCTTTCTCGTTTGTCAACTGTTTTAGTTTTTGTTTTGCACAAATTTTTTGTACATTCGATTTTTAAATTTATTGCGTTTGTTACTTTTAGTTGGGCGTTGCCCTTTATTTCTTGTTTTTTAATAAACCGAAACTACGGTGTTGAAATGTTTTTATGATGAAATTGATTGGAGGCTAAAAGGTAGCAGCAGTGTTGTGGGCAGTGGCGTATCTACGTAAAATAGCGTCCATGGCAAAGTTTAAAAATGCGCCCCTTTTATACTTGGTTGGCAATTTATAGTGACTGTTATTGAATTGAGATACTCGTACGATATTCTTCTATCCGTTATAGTTTGGGTAGTCCTATGCGAGGCGGATTGCAAAGGGGCAGATCAGCATAGCCATATATCATAATAGGGAAAAATTATTATTTCATAATAAAAATGAATTCGTCTTCAAAATTCAGTACCTTAATTTTACTAAATACAAAATCACGATTAAAGTTTACTTTACGTCTTGCGTATACGTCTTTATATTTTTGGTCGTTCATAGGCGGAAAAGGGCAGTTAGCCCTTGTTGACTCACCATCACCAGTCACAAAAAACTAAACACTCTGTCTGCTTTTACCTAAATAGAAACACTTCTAGAAAAACATGTGTAATAACGCGAACTCTGAAGCTTGAATATATACTGCCCCCCAGAACTTACGGCCCGGGGCGATTGCCACTATAACCCTGTCCTAGACCCGTCCCTGGCTGTAGGCCTACCTAACTAGGAGCGGATTTACAGATTTATCGCAGGGGAGAGGAAAGCCGATAAGACGGCTTAATCATATGGCGAACCACGACCTCTCGTCCGGTGATCAGTCTAGGTCGGGTATGAGATTAGTTACGTGAACCCCCCTACGGCGGCGAGGAGTCCAGCAATCCTTTCGCACATGATCATCCCCGCATAGGATTCGAACCTGCGATCCCACGAAGGGTAATCAGAGACGCGGTGGCGAGCGTATTCCTAACGCTTAGCACGATGCGCCACACCGCCGAGCCATATAACTGATAAAAGGGGAACTAATGAAAAGAACTGTATTGCTTGGGAAGCCAATCTTCATAGCAATAAGGATAACAGAAAATGAATTCAGCTTTACATTTTATTACCTTTTAAGTATAAGTTCACGATTACGGTAAGTTTACTTTACGTCTCACGTATACGTCTTTATATTGTGAAAATTTGTCAACAACAAAGGAGAAGGATCGATTTTAGAATTTAATTTATTTGAGTTATAAAAGTTTAAAGTGAGCAAATTCAGAACAAAATCAAAAGTATGGTAACGGCTCTTGTGTCGAGCATTGGCGACACATGACAATTTTTTTTATAAATATATGCACCTTTGGAACAAAACACATTATTCTCGCTGCTAGTTTCATTTACCGTATTTTACGAACCACGAGACGACTTAAAACATTTCTTTCACAAAAATCAATCGTGTACCTTAAAAGCCAGTGCAGTGTGCCTAAGGGTACTGCTTTTTGCTTTATTGACACACTCAAACCCAGTAACAGCCATTTGACGTTTTTTTTTAAATAAAATAACCATAAAGATATTGATTATTTTTTGTTTGTTTAAAATACGGTAGATTAAAAGTTTGTCTATAACGTTAATGATACTAAACGACAATTTCGAAAATATAAAGACTATAATATATATAATAGCGTTCTCTAGTGTTTGAGATGATGCTTCTTGTAAAAGAAATAAATTTGCCGTTGAAGCAAATCACTGAATCTATAATTAATCATTTGTGGCGTTGAAAAAGCAAACTTCAATATTTTCCAAACAACTAGAATTTTCGCTATCGATTTGGTTTCAGCGCGGCAAACTACTTATTCTTATTCTATGCTTTTGTGCCGGTGGCGCATATAAAGCAAGGATGATGTAAGAAGAGTAAAGACAAGAGAGCTACGCACAAATATATGGACACGTTAGACCAGAGCGAATCAGTCCTTACCGGTACCTTTGACGCTACCGGTACCCTCAAAAAAGTTCTGATTTTCCAGTAGCAAGAATTTTGCAGAATCAAAACGTACAGCCAGCCATGACACTGACTAAAATCCGTGTTCCCATGGATAAAAAATAATACAGCAAAATTTTAGACGAAATATCAAATTTCATAGAATTCACGCAAAATTTTGAAATAAATAAAAGTAATAGCCTTCTAGCGAAGAAATTAATCTTTAACCACTGAAAATTTCAAAGCAATTGGTCCAGTATTCGAAGAGAAAAGCGATTTTTTAAAAACGTGTCAAAGAACAAGAACAAGAACAACAACAACATAATATTGCAACGATCGTTATGGCCACTAAACGTGTCCAACAACAAAATTTTGAAACGATCGTTATGGACACTAAACGTGTCCAATAAACGTGTCCAATAACTATCCTGATCAATCCAAGTCTTGCTGCTCACTAACACAAAATTTATCTCTGTAACTTTTCGCTCGACCAAAGTCAGATTTCTCCCGGAACGTTACAGAAATATATTAGTGTTAGTATAAGTATAAGTTTATTTCGACTCCATAATCAGCATAACAATACAATGATTAACAAAAACAAATAAATAAAAACTGATTATGAAATCAGGGGAGCAAACAAAACCTTAAACAAGGTTTAAAACGTACAATTAGTGTGCAGACTGTCGAATTACTTAAACTAGATTTATTTTTTGTTTATTTGATATCTATTCAGAACTATAGGTATGAATAAAGCTTCAAAAACATTCCAAACTGCTATTTCCAATTTCAAAAAATCAGAGAGAATAAATAAATAATATGAATAATTAAATACAGTTATGATTTAGTTCAATATATAGGCTAGCTAGAGTAACGGTACATGTTTATTCGAACCAAAATTTCTGAACATAGCCTTGGCAGCTAATCTCCTAACCTGCGCCTTTCCTCGCTCGCTAGTACCAATCATCTCTGCATTCGCGTTCTCTGGCATTCTCCTAACCTGCCTTCCTCGCTCGCTACCCATCATCCCTTGGCAGCTAATCTCCTAACAACCTGCGCCTTTCCTCGCTCGCCAGCTAATCTCCACCATCATCTCTGCATTTGCGTTCTCTGGCATTCTCCTAACCTCTGCCTTCCTCGCTCGCTACCCATCATCCTTGGCAGCTAATCTCCTAACAACCTGCGCCTTTCCTCGCTCGCTAGTACCCATCATCTCTGCATTTGCGTTCTCTGGCATTCTCCTAACCTGCCTTCCTCGCTCGCTACCCATCCTTGGCAGCTAATCTCCTAACCTGCGCCTTTCCTCGCTCGCTAGTACCCATCATCTCTATTCTCCAAACCTGCGCCTTCCTCGCTCGCTACTACCCAACTACCCAACATCCCCCATCGCTCGCTACCCATCCTTGGCAGCTAATCTCCTAACCTGCGCCTTTCCTCGCTCGCTAGTACCCATCATCTTCTATTCTTCTAACCTGCGCCTTCCTCGCTCGCTACTACCCAACTACCCAACATCCCCCATCATCATCCCATCATCCATCGCTACCCATCCTTGGCAGCTATTCTCTTAACCTGCTTTCCTCGCTCGCTACCCATCCTTGGCAGCTATTCTCCTAACCTACTTTCCTCGCTCGCTACCCATCCTTGGCAGCTATTCTCCTAACCTGCGCCTTCCTCGCTCGCTACTACCCAACTACCCCAACATCCCCCATCATCCATCCTTGGCAGTCATCGCTACCCATCCTTGGCAGCTATTCTCCTAACCTGCCCTTCCTCGCTCGCTACCCATCCTCCCCCGCCCCATCGGGCTTATATCAGCTATTCTCCTAACCTGCCTTCCTCGCTCGCTACCCATCCTCCCCCGCCCCATCGGGCTTATATATCGCCGACTGCCTTTCTCCCCTCCTCCACGGCTCCATCCGTACAGCTATTCTCCTAACCTGCTTTCATCGCTCGCTACCCATCTACCCAACTACCCAACATCCATCATCCATCCTTGGCAGCCATCGCTACCCATCCTTGGCAGCTATTCTCCTAACCTGCCTTCCTCGCTCGCTACCCATCCTCCCCCGCCCCATCGGGCTTACTTGCTCGCCGACTGCCTTTCCCCTCCTCCACGGCCCCATCCGTACAGCTCAGGGTGTCTCCCACCTGCTCACCGGCCGGCCCATTCTTGCAGCTCAGCCGGTCTTTTGCTTGGGTACTGCACTTGACTTTGACCCCATCTTGCTATTTACGCTGCACCCACACTTGTTTGTTTCACTTGCACACCGGACTCTCCTCCAGGCCCACCCATGCTTACAGCTCAGCGGTCTCTAGCTGCACTCACACTGTTGGATGGTTTCAGTTTACTAGCCGACTGCCTTTCCTCCTCCACACTGCTCGTCGACTGCCTTTCTTTCACCCCTCCACGCCCTAGTCAGCTGCACTCTCTGTTGGCTGGTCCTCACTTGCTCGTGGACTGCCTTTCCTGCACTTTCTCACTTGCTATCCCGCCGCTACCCCTCCTTCGACCGCTTGCTTATCTATATAACTCCTGGCTCGCCTGCTGGCCTATGCTCATACCTCAGTCTACCTTGTGGGATTCGAACTCCTGGCCTGATGTTTGACCATGTCCCTACGCTTCCCCTGCGCCACCGCTACTGACGAGGATCGCGTTAATTAGAATATTACTTAATTAACGACGCCACGCTTGGCAGCCCACGACTAGACTGCCCCGCGAAAATTACATTGAACATACTGTAAATCTGCAAACCAAATTTCTGACTCTGAATGGAAGAATAATAAGACCGGAAGACGGTTCATCAATTTGATCTTTCTGTCTCCATTGCCAACTGACCGTCTGAGGGTTTACTGTTTCTTAATTTATAAAACATCTCAGTTTAAAATTGTCGCGGCGTTGTGCTTCTTTACAAATTGAAACAAAATTATACACATTAGAAATAAAACGATAAACACCGTAAATTTTGTCTTGAAAGCTTCGCGGCAGGTGAAGGTTGCTACCGCAGCTACTAAAGATGAAACGCAGTAAATTGCGCCTGGGATGTACCTTCTATTCATTCTTAGACCATACGTCACATTTCCCCAGATTATGATGAAAAATATACGCTAATCAATGCAGGTTTGAACGCTGTGGGCGTTATC